TTGAGCCACAGGCGCCGAGCCAGATTTTCTATTTTTAATAGAGATAGGGTTTTGCTCTTGCTCAGGCGGATTTCAAACTCCTGAGGTCACTTAATTCACCCAACTTGGCCCCCCAGAGTGCTAGGATTACAGGTGTGAGCCACCACATCTGGCCTCTAAGTGATCTTATTTGCATCTACAACCTTAATTCCCCGTGCTGTGTAATATAACATTTTCATAGGTCCTGGGAATTGCATGTGGACATCTTTCAGGGACTATTGTTCTATGTACCAGAAAAGCTTCTGCCTCAGAGCCTTTACCTACTCTTCTTCTGATCAGAATAATCTTTCTTCTCAAAACCTTCTGGCCCTTCCTTAAGTTTATTCCAGTCTATGCTCAGATTTAATATCATAAGGAAAGCTATCTGCAACTACTCTATTAAAATGATGTTCTATTTTTACTCTTCTTGTCCTGTGTTGTAGTATGTCTCAAACTCTTCTGTTTACCTGTCACTTCTATCCCTGGTATTTACTGTTTTAAGCGGAGGAATTTTAGCTGTTTTGTTCATGGCTGTATTTCAGTGCCTAGAATAGTTCTGGTTCTAAATATTTGTTATCCTGATAAATAAGTTAATGGGTAGGGGAAATTCACTGTCTTTAGGAATTGGGGAGATAGCTAGTAAGAAATACACAAACTGGAGTGGAAAAGAGCGAGTACAAAATGTTGTTTTGTCTTCAGATGGCTTACTATGTAATTTCACCTCTCTTGGATTCCCTTGGCATGACTGCATTGTCTGTGTGTGCAACTGACCCACATCCCATGGAAAGTTTTAAGCATTCTTTTCATGACCACACTAGGTAACATGCCTTGTCTGTGACTTACTCTGGAGTGTATGTTTCCCCAGGGAGCATATTCACTTCTGGGAAGAAATCCTTATTGCAGGAAGACTCTAATGTCTACTTCTGAGATAGCTCCTCTATACAAGGGGGAAAAAACTCTCAATTTCCTGAAGCCTCTCAATCAATAACCAAGTTTACACTTACCTTTTCTTTGACAGACTTTCCTGTCTAGAGTGTATTTGCCTTTTCCAAAGTACATATAGATATCACTGCCCCCGGATTTCTCTCTCTTTCTCTTAGAGATTGAAGAATTAGGATGAGGGTGACATCAGTCATGTAGGTGAACATTGCCTGGTCATCTTTCTTCAGAAATGTGCATATTTCTATACCTATTTTATTCAAATTTAATTGTTAAAGACATTAAAGAATATGGTTTTTATTTATTTATTTATTTATTCATTTGTTTTTTTAAAACAGAGTCTCACTATGTCACCCTCAGTAGAATGCCATGGCGTCGGCTCACAGCAACCTCAAACTCTTGGGCTTAAGTGATTCTCTTGCCTTAGCCTCCCATGTAGCTGGGACTACAGGGGCCTGCCACAATGCCCAGCCATTTTTTGGTTGCAATTGTCATTGTTGTTTAGCAGGTCTGGGCTGGGCTTGAACCTGCCAGCTTTGGTGTATGTGGCTGGTGCCCTACTCATTGAGGTATGGGCACCAAGCGAAGAATATGTGGTTTTTAAATAATTTTTCCTTTATATTTACAGAAGACATGTACTGTTATTTTAAACTAGTGAACTTTATAACCTGGTAGGAATGGGAAACTGCTCTCTCAAAATATAAACATTCTGAAAGAGACTCTCCCTTCTCCCCTAAAACCTCTTATTTATAAAGTTACAGTGTATTAAATATGTCCAGTATGCGCCAGTAGGTCCACCCTTACCTATTAATATTTTCCAAGATTTGGTCTAGGCATAGTGGCTCAAGCCTGTAATCCTAGCACTCTGGGAGGCTGAGGCGGGTAGATTGCTTGAGCTCAGGATTTTGAGACCAGCCTGAGCAAGAGCAAGACCCTGTCTTTATCCAAAATAGAAAAAGTAGTAGTAGTCCCAGCTACTTCAATGGCTGAGGCAAAAAGAGTGCTTAAACCCAGGAGTTTGAGGTTGTGGTGAGGTATGACACCATGGCACTTTAGCCTTGGGCAACAGAGTAAGACTTTGTCTCAAAAAAAAAAAGTTTTCTTTTCACCATTCAAACATTTGAAGTAATCTTTCCATTGAAAAAATTTACTTGATTCAGAACGTGGTAATATCCTGACCAAAGTTTCCAAGCTTTCTATGAGTGTGTGCCATAGTAAGAAACACATCTTTCATTATAACCATTTTTCATGGATTTGGATGTATGTGGGTGACTTTAGGTATTTCATGTAATCACAGCTTTCAGGCTTGTCATGATGATGTGCTAATTTTTATTCTAGTTTTCCTTTCTTTCTTTCTTTCTTTCTTTTTTTTGAGACAGAGTCTCACTTGTTGCCTGTCATAGCTCATAGCAACCTCAAACTCTTGGGCTCAAGCAATTCTCTTGCCTCAGCCTCCCAGCTGGGACTACAGGTGCCCACCTCAGTGTCTGGCTATTTTTAGAGACAAGGTCTCCTCTTGCTCAGGCTGAGGAACCCATGAACTCAGGCAATCCACCTGTCTTGGCCTCCCAGAGTGCTAGGATTAGTGTGAGCCACTGAACCCTGTTCTTTTTTCTAAATGCTCATTATAAATATTTTAACTTACTTTACAGTTCACTAATAAGCTTCAGTCTTTAATTTGAAAATGAGTATAAAGGCCTGTTTATCTATGTCATAAATTTTCTGTACTCTGTTTTCAATGAGAGAGTCCAATAACCTCACATGGAACCAACTAGAGCATAACTCCTCAGGCATATTTTTAATTTTAAGTGACTCTTGCCACCTTTCATTGTCTCATCAGGAGCATCCCCCTTGGATGCCCCTATCAGGTAAAGAAGGCTTTTACATTCTCATCAAAACGAGTTGCTTGTTCCTTTCCTATTTCAGATACCCAAATTATGGTTCATATCAACACAGAAAAAGAGAAGCATACATTGCACAATTCTTGTGCAGGAATATTTTGTATAAGTAGATATAAACACTCATAGCTGTCTGATATTTGGCACTAAGATGAGCTCAACCAACTATAAAAGTTGGGCCAGTTTACAGAAGATTGCCCTCACTTTATACCAACTGCAAATTTGGGGATTTCCCAAAACTACATTCACATTCAGTAATTCACTACAAAGACAGGCAGAACTCCCTGAATGCTTTTATACTCAAAGTTACAGATTTTAACAGGGAAAAGATGCACGTTACATTTTGCCAAAAGAAAAATCAAAAAAGAAACACTCTTGGCAAGTACCAAATGAAGATCTTCTGTTGTATTCTCCATGCAGAGTAGAATATGTTACATTCCTAAGATTGAAGTATGACTTAGGCACAGAGTACTGTCAATTAGAGAAACTCACATGAGTGCTGATTTCCAGAGTAATCACTGGGCCTCCGTTACATAGCCATTATTTGTTGAGTCCCAAGTTGTTAATTAATATACCTAGTCGCTGATTCCATGTGACTTAAGTCACACTGTTAAATCACATTGTTCTTTCTGACATGGTGAACATCACTCCCTAACCCCCAAAGGAGTGGCCAACCAACCCTAAGTCATATTGCTTTACTATCCAATGTAACCCATTCTTTGCCCCCAAGAAAAGAAAGACAATCTTTTCAGGCATGACATTCTAAGTATACCTCTGAAATACTGAGGAAAACTTTTAGATCTCACTTTGAATAAAGTTAATTTCTTTAATTTATAAAGATATACATATAATTGCAAATATGCAAAGTCTTGATTATGTTATTGCTTTTCCTTAAAGTTCCTTTTGATTATATTTCATAATTTATAAACATAATTTATTAGGTTCATCATTTATCATGCAAGATTTTACACTGAGTAGAAAATTCACCAGGAACAGTAACAGGTAAAGTGTATGTATCACATTTTTTTTATTAAATCTTTTCTTTCTAACAAGTATTTTACATATGAGACTTGGAATGGTTCTAAATTGGTCTTATGCAAACCATAGAACATGTTGTACTTGGAAAACATAAATTTTTCTCTATATTCATTAAAGTTTCATGCCATGTCCTAAGTGTGAACTCTTGATAACACAGAACAAAGGCTTTACTTGTCCACATCTTTTAATCTGTGTTATGATAGGAGACAAGATCCAAACTGAGTTGGGGACTATTCCAGAAGCAGAACTACATGAGGCGTTATCCTGCCAGCAAATCTGGGAACAAAATGCAAGTGACTTAACGAGGTCTCAAGACACCACAATAAATAGCTCTCAGTTCTCCAAACAAGGTGATGTCCCTTACCACATTGAGGCAGGGCTATCTGTTATTCATATAGGACAGAAAACTTACCAGGGTAATGAGGATAAACAATTCTTCAATGATGTCTCCATATTTGATCTTCATCAGCAATTATACTCAAGAGAGAAGTCTCACACATGTGATGAGTGCGGAAAGAGTTTCCGTTACAGATCAGTTCTTCTTATTCATCAGAGAGTCCACATGGGAGGCATGGGACAGAAACTCTATAAGTGTGACGTGTGTGGTAAGGAATTTAGTCAGAACTCACATCTGCAAACTCATCGGAAAGGCCACATTCCAGAGAAACCATTCAAATGTGAGCAGTGTGGGAAAGTCTTCAGTCGTAGATCAGGACTTAATGTTCATTGCAAATTACACACAGGGGAGAAACCTTACAATTGTGAGGAATGTGGAAGGGCCTTCATTTATGCTTCACTACTTCAGGAACATCAGAGAATCCATACTGGAGAGAAACCATTCAAATGTGAGATATGTGGTAAGAGCTTCCGGGTTAAGTCACGACTTAATAGGCATTTCATGGTTCACACAGGAGAAAAACCATTTCGGTGTGATACATGTGGTAAGAGCTTCTGTGTTAGGTCACTACTTAAGAGGCATTCCATGGTTCACACAGGAGAAAAACCATTCCGATGTGATACATGTGGTAAGAGCTTTCATCAGAGATCAGCACTTAATAGTCATTGCGTGGTCCACACAGGAGAGAAACCATTCCAATGTAGTACATGTGGTAAGAGCTTTCATCAGAGATCAGCACTTAATAGTCATTGTGTGGTCCACACAGGAGAGAAACCATACAAATGTGAGGAGTGTGAGAAAGGCTTCATTCGTAGGCAGGATCTTTTTAAGCATCATGTAGTCCACACAGGAGAGAAACCATACAAATGTGAAGAGTGTGGAAAAGGCTTCATTCGCAGGCAAGATCTATTTAAGCATCATGTGGTCCACACAGGAGAGAAACCATATGGTTGTGAAGAATGTGGGAAGAGCTTCAGATGGTCCTCAAGTCTATCAAGACATCAGCGAGTCCACAGTGGAGAAAAACCATTTAAATGTGAAGAATGTGGAGAGGGATTTTATACAAATTCACAATGCTATGCCCATCAGAGGGCCCACAGTGGAGAAAAGCCATACAAATGTGAAGAGTGTGGGAAGGGCTACAAATGGAGGTTGGATCTTTACTCTCACCAGAAGGTCCACACAGGTGAGAAACTTTATAATTGTAAGGAATGTGGGAAGAGCTTTAGTAGGGCCTCAGGTCTTTTGAAACATCACATAGTCCACACTGGAGAAAAGCCATATAAATGTGAGGAGTGTGGTAAG